AGGAATTTGGTGTAATTATGATCAGTGATTATTTTTATACTGTAAGTGCCAAAGCTTTACTACTGTGGAAAAGAAAAAAACAACTCTTTTAATAAAAAGATTTACAAACCAGACATGTTGTTTAAGTGATTCTCTTTGCTACCATGGGATCTAGGATGAAGATTATTATTCTGAGCTGGAGTAACATTGCCTTGAAACAAGACGGAACAAACATCTCAATGAAGCATGAAGTAAACCTCAAGAGAATCTGTGTAGAGCAGTTTGTTAATTAAAGACTTCCAGCTGCAGCCCCTGCCCCACTAGAGCGCAGAGACATTCTGAGTATGTATGCCACGCTGCAGGAAGCAGAGGCTTGCTTTGCGGGAGCAGGTGGAGGAGAGAAAAGGGGGAGGGAAAGGAAAATAGTCCCTGCTTTGGACATGAGCTGAGGTAGAGATGGTCCTCAGTCCAGCCAGCCACTTAAATACCTGTTAGTGTTTCAGTTGCCAAAATCAGTAAGGCCATCCCTACCCTTGAAGCTGGATATGTTCAAAGATGAGCTCCCCCACAGGCCCAAGCTGAGGCAGGGTCTCAGACCCAGCTCCCTGCCTTGCCCATGGGGCAGACTACAGTTCACCCCACACAGCAACGGAGCATGACTTACCTGTGACCTGCTAAAGGGTTTACAGAGGGGCTATCACCCCCTTCCTCCAGCTCCCGGCTATTCTGTCTCCATTTGCAACATGGTAAATTCAAGTAACAAAATCCAGAACCAAGGTTGTTTAGGTACTAGTGAGCACATCCTCAGGCACTGCTGCAACAACGGCATAGAAATCCTTCCCCTCCCTCTGCAGAAAGCCTCAAAAATCCAAGGGGGACAAACAGCTTTCAAGCCTACCATGCTTCTGCCTCCTGGGGTGGGAAGGGAGGTAAATTAAATTCTCCTTAAAACCTTTTTTACAACAAAGCCAGTCTTGATTACAACTAACAAAAGTTAGCAGTAAGTCCCTTTAGCTTGCGCGGCCAAAAACCTGTACAGCATTTGCAAACAGAGAACTTGAAAGGTTCTGTCATGATTCCTCAGGCAACATTCCTCTCAGCTACAAAAGCACTGTATTACTTGAGTCAACGGATTTCTCTGGACTGAATAAAGCATAGCATGAAAATACAATTTTGCTTCTTGACATAAGAAACACAAATGGCAGTTGTTTTCACAGATTGCTACCTACAGAGCAACCAAAACATTTGCAAATAGTAAGATGATTGCAGCAGAAATCACTTTGATCCCACCAATGTTCAAGAGCCACATGAACTAAAAATGACATAGAGTCGGAGAAGAATACTTTCCTGATAGAGTTCTGTCCTTCCTAAGTGGATGTCACATCTTGGTTTCCACCAGTTCCAAAGATCCTTACTTAGTCACTTTGCTGCTGCACAATTCATGTCACAGACACACAGGAATCACCCGGCTGAACGGGAGTCAGAGTCCATCTCGTCACATCGCTCCTAACAGTGGCAAACGCTCCCCTCCCCGCAGTAAGCATTGAGATAAAATTATATAATCCTTAAAAAAAAATTTAGTGCATTTGCCTAATCTCTCTGTAGAGGTTTGTCCATGCTTTAAGCATGAGGGTTTACATTGCTGACCATTTCTCTTTAACTTACTAGCGTAGCACTGGGTATTTTGCCATTTGGCTAAATGTTTTCTTTTCAGCTGCGTTTGAAGAACACTAGCAGAGTGTAGTACAGAGGCCAAAGAAACTCATGAGATCCAAAAGTAAAAACCACAAGTCTTTCCTTTCAGAAACAATCGGCAACAAAAGGAGCCAAGGGTTTTGAAGGTTCTCATGCTTCACCCAGGCCATAGTGTGTAAAATGGCAGGAGAACAGCAGCTGGACCTTAAAATACAGGATTGATTTACATCCACGCTCCACTTGAGCACTCAGATCAGTTCACGTTATCCAACCCAAGTCACGTCTGAGTCAGGGACAGGGATGAAGGGAGAATCTGCTCCCCCTTAGCAGGGAGCTTTCAGGCTTCCCAAACAAGGCGCTCATGGCTACGTCAAGCCCAGTGGCATTTAAGCCCTTGGCTGTTCTTTTTCAGAAGAGGAGGCGCTTCTCCACGTGGTTTGTGGCTAACACAGAGCTTCGATTAGAGCGCAGGAACAACCAGAGGCAGGACACTTCCAGCAAGGAACAGAGTGGCTGAAGGAAAAAATAAAAACAAAGAAAAAAATGTGCTGCTACTGGCAGGGAAGACTGAGAGTGATTCCTCCCTCCCCTCCATTTACTTCCACAGGTTTGGGAGCTGCTCTCGTTCTGCCAGCACAGGACCTGCCAGGGGCAAGGCGCTGTACGGCGACGGCGCAAAGCAGCCCATCAGCAGCCTGCTTTTCAAAAAGCACCAGCTGAGGGGAGCAGACCTCTCCCTGCTCCGTGAGCGGAGACATACCCTTTCCTATGGGAAAGAGACACTAAGCAGAGTGACACGGTTCGCTTTTAATCATTGTAATTATCAAAGGGAGAAGTAATTCATGCAACTAGCAGGAGAGCAGCATACCTCAGAAGGAAGCTTTTGGGACCAGCGCAGCCCTTTCTTGCCAAGAACCACTCGCCTGCCCTGCTGCACTGGGGGAAGGCTCGCAGCTCCTAAGCCCTGCTGTCAGCAGGGACCCGCTACCAGCAAGGACTGTGTCCCTCCTTCGGGGCATCTCGTCTAGAACAGCAGTTGGAGCCGGTGCTTCCAGACAGACACTCAGGGCTCTGTGCCTGAAACAGGAGCCAGTCAAGTACCGGGCTTCACACACTGCCAATTTTCTTCAAGGGGAAGGCTTCTGGCTAGTTGAAATTGTCACCCCGAAGGGCATTCCTATGAGGTCACCTCACACCTGGAACTAGACCAGTTTTTCATCAGCCAGGTGAGGCAGGGTAGTCAAGGACACTTGCTTGGGACACTGGACGCTTAGGTGCCTTTCTCCAATTCCATATGGCTCCTGTACCTCCTTTAACCCTACCATAGGCACAGCAGGAGGCAAAAGCATCCCTCCACAGATGCGTAACCAGCGATAGGACGAGAGGAAATGGCCTCAAGTTGCACCAGGGGAGGTTTAAATTGGATATTAGGAAAAATTTCTTCACCGAGAGGGTGGTCAAGCATTGGAACAGGCTGCCCAGGGAAGTGGTGGAGGCTCCATCTCTGGAAATGTTCAAAAAACGTGTGGATGTGGCGCTTCAGGATATGGTTTAGGGGACATGGTGGCACTGGATTAATGGTTGGACTTGATGATCTTGAAGGTCCTTTCCAACCTTAGCGATTCTGTGATTCTGTGAAATCTCACCTGGAAGTTTAGTACCTATTAACTTCCATCAGTAGATTAAACAGTGCCCCAAGGACAGCAAACAACGGGTAAATCACAAGCAGGAATACAGGAGAACAGGAGCTGACAGATGCTTATCACTGGTCTCCGTTTTAGCCAAGGCTTTAGAAGATGCAGGTAAAGAACAGGCTAACAGATTCCCAAGAGAACCTCACAGCGTGATATGTACCAGCTACGGTCAAAGCAGCATGTCAGAAAAGACATGTAAGGAATAGAAGAATAGTGGAAGAGAGAGAGAGAGTCCAAAACCCAATTTAAATTGGGTTTATAAAAAATTGGGTTTTTATTATTGGGCTAGTAAAAACACAGAAGACTCCAAACACCGACAATGCATGGGATGCAACAGCACAGAAAGCAGCCCTGGGCCAGGGCTGGAGTTAGCACAGCCAGCAGGCAAGCCATTAGGCAATGCACCATTTTATTTTGGACTACCAGGTCCAAAAGGTAGAATCCATTCTACCCTGTCCTGCCTAATCCAGCCACTTGGAAATAATCTATGGTAGAGATCAGAAAAGAAAAAATAATCCACTGTAGAGATAAGAAGAGAGAGGAGAGCTCTCCCTGTCAGGCCAGAGCAAGGGCAGTGCCCAGGGCCTAAGGCACAGGGAAGCAAGGGATGCAGATGTACGTGGAGCCGATGGAATGAAACGCATTAAGGTAAAACTGGCATGTGGCTTATGATCTCTTAAACAACTCACATGCCCCAGGAAGTATCTTTGCCTTGCTCAGTTCGAACAAGTCTGGGTGAAATGGGCAGTCAGGTGAAATAAAATGCGTCCACAGTCACAACAAGCCAGCAGCAGAGCCAGGAACACAACCCGAATTTCCCTTCTTCCAGGTCCATCTCCTACCTATGTGCCCCTGCTAGTGCTTGGGCAAGGGGAACACATGCAGACTTTCTGCTCAGTACCAGCTGAGATCAGAGCCGTGACAGAAGTGTTTATTGCAAAACTGTGGACTGTTCCTTGCCAAAACTGAACAGATTTTATAAAATGGAACCAAAAAAAATCCCTTTGAAATGGTCACAGTGATTGCCAGCAAAAACGTGTCTGGGCTGTTACTTTATTCATCTTGCTGTGCTCCAGATTTGTTTTTCTAATCAGAGTTCAAATCTGCTTAATGCAAATTGCACACAATGGAGAAGGGAAGTGGCTTTAGGCAAGATGCTTCCCAGATGCCTGCCTATGAACTCTGAATTGAACTCCCCGGTATGAGAACAAGCATGTCAAACTCACAGGAATGAGTCTTTTACCTTGGAGAAAGCCATCTGACACTGCCCCTCAGCCCAAAGCACATGTCTAAGGCAGGATTCGGAGCACCAAACCAGAGATGGCCTTGCACAAAGGACCTGCCCCCCTCGCCTCACAGGGGAAGAGGATAATAGATTAGAAACGCCCAGAGAAAACTACCTGCTGACTCCAGGGTGGGGGAAGGGGAAAAAAAAAAAAAAAAGGCAGCTCAGTTCAAGTTACACCACAGATTTTTATCAGTTTATTGAGGAGTTGGGCACAAGCCAGGCTTTCATACCATTCCATAGGCCTTCTAATGAGTTAGTAAAGTCTGGACCATAAAATTTATCCCCAAAATAAACCTTTTGTCTTGAGGACACAGGATTTGGATGACACAAGACTACAAACTCCAACATAGCTAATAACCGTATGTTTATTTGCAAATAGAGAGACCTATTTTCTACCCTGGAGGCCAACTTCTTGTGCCTTCAGTCTCTGTTAACACAGGGAAAGATCTCCTTTACAGATCTTACAAAGGCTTGCTAAGCACAGACTGCAGGTGCCTCCCAATGAAACTGGTGATATTCCAGTCACTGCTGCTGGTGAGACTGTGACCAAAGAGGGGCCATGACAGTCCACAGCAAACTCAGTGATGAAACAGCCGAAGATTGGTGTGAATGAGAGTTATCCCCAGCTCATTGCAAGCTTCGATCACAACCTCGTCGGCAGCCGAGCCAGATGGGGCAGCGATGAACTGTACTCCGCTCTGAACAAACACAGAGATAAGTAGAAGGATTAGAGGAGAGCAAACCAAAATCCCCCTGTAAAGGAGCTGGCAGACCCAGTCCTTCATCCACATCCCACCATACTAAGCACTGAACAAAGGCCTCCATGGCCCAAAGCCATGCACAGGGGATTTCCTCATGTGAGCAGTCTGTTCTTGCCACAGCTCAGAAGCAAGTATAAAATGGTTCCTCTGGAAGCAATAGGCCTTTTCTTCATATTCTTAAACCATTTAATAAACTTTAATCCTCTACTCATCCCAAATCAACAAACTGAGCAATGGCTGGATAATTACTGTCCACATGAGACCAGTAACCACGAGAAACACCCTTCCCAGGATGTGCTCTTCTAGCCAGCAGTGCAGCATTCTGCAGCACTCTGTGTAAAATTCAAATGAAAAGCCCGGGCTGAGCAGAGGTTTCCTGGGAGTCACACTGACATCCTGGCCCTGCCACGACCTTACCCGTTTTGCTCTGTCGACGTTATCCCTAAAAGGGAAGAATGCATCGGAGCTGAGAGAGACAGCAGTCATCTTGGCAATCCACTGCTTCTTCTCCGCTTCTGTTAACTGGGCAGGCACCTCTTCAAACATCGCCTTCCATTTCACCAGGTCCTCATCCTGTGACAACAAAAAGAGCCAGCTCAGCCCCAAAGCACGGGCTCCCGGCAGTCTCCGGCCAGAAGCACATAAGGATGAGTGATGATGGCATCCCTCTAACACCCAGCTCAGCTGGGCTTTCTGCTCCCACAGCTCTGTTTTTAAAATCCCAAGTGGTGGTGGGAACACATTACCACCATCAGCTCTTTTTGCATCCTTTTCTCTCCTTTCCTTCCCCCTCCTCACCCCAGGGCTTGAGGGATTCCTCCTCTCCGCCTTCAATTCCAAGATGCTCTGCTTGGCCTGCCTGCAATATGCTGCTCTGTGTAAATGCCAGCACACACAAACAGGATCTGGTAGATGACCTAACACATGACAAACAGCAGCTTGGTTTATGATTCACCTTCTGAAACAGCAACTGCTCCATTTCTTACCCCCTTAAACAAGCAACTGCTCACAGAGATGATTCACAAGGTCCCCAACCCAGCTCTTTGCTTTCAATACTTAAAAAGGACATACTATTTTCTTGTCTCACTAGCACTTGCAACACGGAGGTCAGAGAGATTCCAAGAACCCAAAATGCCACACAAGCAAAGAGCAGCATTCAAGAAGGACAGCTGCTCTGACAGGGCAGTGAGAGTTGAAACATTAACTGTAGCTTTAACCCTTCCTTACTGCTGGGGGCAACTATCAGATGAAAGCAACCACACACCAAAGCATAGGGCAGGTTCCAGCACCCCTCCCCTCCTGCAGTATTGGAGGGGCAAAGCAGGACGCTTTGCCACTGGGCTGTTAAATGACCTCGGGGAAGTCACCATCCTGGGCCCTGGCCAGTAGATCTCCCAGCTCTTTGGGATCATCTATTACTGACATCCACGCACAAAACTCAAGCCAGGCTTAAAGTCTTTACGTAGTACTTGTTTCGCAGAAGCTGGACTCTCCAGAGAAACCTCTCAGCCAGCCCTTACCTCACCAATGGTCCCAGTGACATACTGATCAATGGCATTGGAGATCTCTGCTCTCTTCACACCCGCTTTGAACTTCATGGAGAGCACACGTGGGTGGTGCCGAAGCCACCAGTTGTTTGCCTTGTCACCAGCCAGACGTGTGCAGTGGATCCGGGACTGTTGGCCAGCTCCAATACCTATGACCTGAAGCATATAGATACAAAGAACAATCACACCTTGCTACACAGAGATCACAATCAGAGCTGCATTCCAGCCAAGCAATTAGAAGAGACCTCCCACAAATTATCCGCTCTTCAAAGTGGAGAAAGAGCGTAGGTAATTAGCAAGGAAAACTTTCAAAACACCTGCATCCCCAATGCTGTAAATTGGTTACAGCATCAGCTCTCTGCACTGCTAACTTCCATGGCTCTGCTGAGCTGACCATCACTCTGAGGACACTACCTTCTTTCATCCTTCTAAATACCACAGCCCTAGCCATCAGAGTCAAACTGTTAACCTCAGGAGAGTGATACAATTATGGCTTTTGTTTAAGGCAAAATAAAATCCTGCTGGTTGTAGAAACAAATGTGACTGCTAAGAGGTGGTTAAGCTGCCTACCTGTTCTGGAAAAGGGCCCTGCAGTTAGAAGATTAAAGTCTGAGCCTGGGTCACCCAAACACCGTCATCTTTCCCGGTGGGCCAGGCATGCACAGCTTAAACAGATCAACTGTGCTATGTAGTGGATTACAGGGCAGTTTGTCTGTCAAGGCTGATAAGAAAGTACATCCACTGCTCAACTGGGAAGGTTGGTCAGTAGGACCATTACATCGCATGAATTGTCAAGGCCCTGGAGCTACCAACACATTTCCTACTCTGCCACATCTGCCAGAGAGTCCAGGATTTTTAACACAGCTGCTGCTAACCTTATTTAATAGCACTTGTGCTTGATATCAAAACAGACCTAGTGCTTCTGGAAGCAAAATCCAAAAGGTAATTTTTTTCCTCAAGGAAGCTGCTATGAAAATACCTCAGCAAATACGCTCAGGTTTCCATTTGCTTTTATCAGACCACTTTCTTTGGAGTTCTCATCAGACACATTCAATCCCTCCCAATTTTTGCAGGTATACTGTACATTAAAATATGTAGAGACTCTTTGGAGTCTGGTGGTCAGGTAACTCTGCAAGCCATTTGTCACAGTTCAACGCACAATTCGAACAAGCTCTTGCATCCTGTCTGGGCTGGTGCAAGCTTGCAGTGGAGGGAAAGGCAACTCTTAGGTGCTGACGCCACTGAAAACTGAATGTGGCTGGAGACATCTTGGTTACTGGACGCTGGCAGAACAAACTCTGCAGATACGGTCTGCCTGCAGTCACAACTGGCAAGGGCAAGGGACCGAGCTGAGGTCTCTTGGGCTCCAGACTGTCTGCTGTCGCTCAGCTTTGCCTCTGCCATGACAGTATGCCAGGCACAAAGGCCAGACTTCACCACTGGTAACTTTTCTTCACGGCTTTCAGAGCTGTGGGTCCTGCTTTCCAAAGAGAACTCCTGCCATTTCAAACCAGAGATCTGACAGAAAACAAGTCTCTCTCCCATAATTTCCTCCTCCTATGAAGCCACAGCTGAACCGTTCACCAGGCTGTTCACATGGGGGACTGCTCCAGGGACACTGTGTTGAGGCTAGCAGTTCTGGCCAATGCCTCAGAGTTTCCAGCTCAGACTGAAACAGATGGTAAAGCTGTAAGTCAAAGGCTGCCCTCAAAGGAATGAATCATTTGTCTTCTCATTCATCAAGACACAGTGACTTCACCTCTTACCAGAACCATAAAACATGCCGCTGGATACTATTCCCCCAAGGAGCAAATGAAAGACTTGGGCTGCCATCTAATATCATCTGCTCAGCTATAACTGAAGTCATCAGTGCTTAATAAGCCCATAAGTATATTATCATAAATACTAAATAGATGCAAAGTTTCTCACGACTTAGTGACACCTTTCCCCCCACAAACACTCCTGATGTCCAGCCTCTGCTCTCACGTCCACCCTGTTTAACCTTCAAACTTGCAGGGGACCCCGCATCTCTAGGGAGCTCATGTTCAACAAGTCCGAAATGGCAGGAACTTTGTGCTTCAGCTAAACAAAGTAATATACCCTGTAAACTCTTCACAGGCATCCCCAAATCTACAGAGATACTATCTGCAACACATGGAGCTGTTTTTATAATGGCTTAACAGGCAAGAGAATATAAAAACTGCTTCTCTCTGCCTCCTCCTGATGAGCTGACGTTGCTTGAGAAGGAAGTTCATAGTTACAGCCTCGGAAGAATATGCTTAAGATGCACTTCACTGGAAAAATGACGATCCAGGGAAAGCAAAATCCTCTTTTGTAGAAAAATGTGTTTTGATGCAACACTGCTGAGGAAAATTTCTTCAGTCTAGCCTGGAATTTCTGGTCTACAGAGGAGAAATCAGAAGGCTGAGCTTTATAGACTTGTACCTGAACCTCTCTTCACACTGGCCTGTCTGAATATACCTATTCTCCGCCTTTTGCACTTCGTGTGAAGTGAAAAATCCTTCTTCCTACACCTTATCTCTCCCTTCCTCAAATGTTGCCTTTCTCCCATATGAAAACACAGCTGAAACATCAAAATCCTCCATAAAGGAATCCTTCCCCTCTATTTTCTGCCTATTTTCTACACAAAAATTAATTTCTTTCACAGTTGAATCTCCTGACATTCAAAAAGTGCTTAAGCAGAGCCTATTAAGTGTGAGGAGTGAAAGGAGACCATAATACAAGGCGAGCAGAAAAATCACTTAAAAAAAAATCTCGGGTGAAAAGTGAGAACTACTTGAACAGAACACTTTAGTTCACAGGGAAGCCAAACATGCCCGTAGCTGGAATACTGTGCAAAAGCACAGTGTGGGTGAGATGGATAATGCCCAAAGGATCCTTGCAAAATGATCCAAATTGGCCTGGGTTTATGCAGATTTACCCTGAATAATGAGTGAAAACAGAAAGCCTAAATACATTTGGAATTATAAAAATCAAATAAAGGACTTCACAATTGGGAAGACAAACAATGAAGTTACTGACAAATGTCTGCACCATTGGTGGAAAACAGTAAGGTAAATTAAGAGGTTTGTTTTATCCTCTTGTGCAGAGAATAAAGAAAGAGAATAATTTTAAATTGCTTATTTAAACCATGGTGGTATCATTAAAGAAAACTGTAAATCAACATGTTATAGACTGGCATCGCTGGTGCTGAAAGTCAGACAAAACAAGTGAAAGTGTTTATTGCAATTAGGGGCAGCTGGCTTCCTGCAAATTAAGTGACACTCCAGTCCATAAACACTTCCTCCCACTCTATGATTTCCTAGAACTTATTAACCCAAGCACCAGCCCTTGCTGGAGCAGCCAATCCAGTCACAAACCCAACGAAGCCAAGCTGCCAAAAAATGTTCTGGATGTCCGATACACAAGAGTTTTGCTAGGCAAGGGGGATGCTGTGAGGCTGAAATAACCTCTAGAAAACCAAAAGCAACAGAGCTGAAAGCAAGCTGGACTTCCCAGGTTCGGCTCATGCAAAATGCTTTTCCAGGATCTGACTTTTAAGCGTAACAATCAGAAAGCTACTTTCTATCCGTGGTTCTTGATTTGTGCTATGTTTTGATTTGCACCCAAATATTCCTGTACACGTCTGATGGTGGGTGATATGACCAGAGTTAGTTCTGCACAGCATCACCAAGAAGAAGCTAAGCTAATCATCATCTTAGTAAGACCAATTTTTAGTGGACCTTATTTCCTTCCCCACGTTAAGAGCAATGGTCTCAATACTTAACAGTCTCGGGAAGCTTTTACAGGCTTTAAAACCAGAAGGGAGCTCCTATCTGAGCTCCTCCATCACTACCTATGGCATGCCACACTGCTGTTTCGGCATTTGGACTGTATTGAGTCTCTTTAGGAAGACATTAAGCTTTGACTGGAAGAACCCAACACAGCTTTGCCACCTCGAGTAAGCGATTGTAGCTGCTACTGTTCAAGTCACCTGTTTCTTAGCGCAGTATACAGACCTTTGACCTTGGCCTTCCTTATCACATATATCAGCAAACCAAGACAAAGCACATTTATATTTTAATCAAATATATGCCTGCAAAAATGCAAAACACCACTGAAGCCCAGCTAGTTAAACCCCTGCCTGCCCACACTGCTTTTCACTCCTCCCTCATGCCTTCTCCCTTCCATATGGTACATGCATTACCACACACATTTCAGAAACATCTGCAGCACCATGTTAAGTCCAGACTTGCAAAAGCACTGGGGAAATTGCTGCTGTAATAAGGGAAAAGGAGCAAAGATAGTGACAACTTTGTTCTGGGGCTACGAGAACTAACAGTCTCAAGTACAAAGAATTGTTTAAAAGCAAGAAAAAAACCCCAACAAACCAAAACTGAATAAAAGAAAAATGCCAGATCTCCAGAGACATGTTTTCAAGAACCATAGAGCACATGACTCCCGCAGACAGCGCTGCAATGCTTTCAGGCTGTAACAACAATCTGACAAATGCAGATGAGTACCAATGCAAAAAGGACAGCGTTGGAATTCATTCACAGTCTGTACCTGTAGGGTACACTGTATGATCCGTTTGGCTGGTTTATGACGTACCAAAGCTCAAGATCAAAAACGTTCTTTGTCTTTTTCTTCTGTATTTTTAAAAAATAATCCAGGCCTATGGAAAAGTTACCATGGAGAGCAGAAAACCAGCTAAACAGCAGCATTATGAGAATGAGCTGCTGGGCAAAAAAACTGTTTTTAATACATTTAAAACAACTTTTGGATAACTGATTTAAGCTGAAGATGTAGTGGTAACTTGGAAAGAAGGGATTTAAAAAAAAATTTAAGATTCCTATCTCAACACGTTTGATAACACCCCTATAAATCCCAACATCCATCATAAGCTTGAAAAAAAACCCAAAAAATCAGGGAGAACAGAAGATTTCTAATACCCCAAAGGGGAAAAAAGAAAGCACATCCCTTATTTCTTATATAAAAAGTGAAAATAAAACTAAAAACCATTTGGACAGTCAGAATCCAGCTGTGAAAACTACTGTCACTTCCTAAGGCTCTATATGGACTACAATGCATGTACACGCCCTCAAAAAAATGATATAAAAGGGAAAAGTAGTTAGAAAGAAATTACTCAAGGCCAAACTTACAGAAGCATATAGGAGCTTTTTCAACCCTATCATTGAAAGGGCCAGCCCTGTCATCACCATGAAAAAACTACACGGAGGTTTTGAAGCAGCCTCTTGAGAAACATGGGTTTAGCTACTGTTCTGCATGGCACTGTCTAGGGCAGTTTGCCTGTACCTGTTTAATAGCTTCCTGTATGCTAAATGGTTTTAAAACTCATGCCTGACAAAAGTACTCCCTGGCCAGCTTGGCTGTGAAAGCACGCTCCACAGAGCTGTCTGATTTGGTTACCTGCCCATCCTTGGCGTAGCAAACCGAATTGGACTGGGTGTATTTGACAGCGATGCTGGCAACAATCAGGTCTCGAACAGCAGACTCAGGCAGCTGAAACAAAACATCATTGTCAATGGCCCATCCTAACAACTGGCTAGTGATCTGCAAACCCCCAAAGCCATCACAAGTACTGTATCATAGAGAGGGAAAACAAGAGAACTAAAATATCGTGTTTTGTTCAATTACGAGCAAATTTTGTTCAGGTTGAAAACTGTAAATGATCGGTTTGGCAGCTAATTTTATAGCTCTTATAATCTTATAGGGTAAGACTCAATCTTACCAGGTCAAGAGGGCTCTATCACTGGCCCTAAGCCTGCAAAGTCTTCTCTGTTTGCTCGCTGTCATCAGATGTGCTCAGAGGCAAAAAATCTAAGCACATGAGTAAGTATGCACAGGACCGCAACAATAATAGCAGCTCCCAATATTTGCATTAAGTCCATTCCATCACTAATTTGGTAAAATGATTTTTATTACCTCAATGTCTGAACTTGCTTCTGAGCCCATGACTAATCATGTGCTCATTAACATCTGATTTTTTATGGGAACAAGATCAGAGACAAAGAAATAACTGGTAACTTTCTGGTGATGTGAACTCTTAAGTGATGAGCAGTATCAGCAGGGCCAGAGTTTATACAACACGCTGTACACAAAAGGGAGAAGTAAACACTGAGTCAGAAGGAGATGGATCCTTAGCACATGGCCTATCTCACCCTAAGAAAATACACAAGGTAGCTTCTTATAAATAAGAAATACAAATATTTTGGTAGTCAGAGATAAAGGGCAAGGCCCAGCTCCTCTTATTTATGTAAGGAATGAAAACAAAGGTGAACTACCCTGACTTACCCAAATATATCTGGTCCAGAAAGCACTGTTTTGTTGAAACCAGTTAAAGTCTCATTAAAATATTTTAGGAGCTCTTAAAATAGAACAGTGATGACTTCCTTGATGAAAGCACACCAGTTCATTCTACCAGTCTTTAAGCTCATTTATCTTCTACACTTACGTTTTTATTCTTTGTAACAATGTTCTTGAACAACGACCGGTCGATGACTGCATTGTTCCTCTTCTGCATGAGATGCAATCCATAGAGGGTTCGAATCTCATTGTCATCTGGCTCATAATGAGGATCCATCTAAAAGCCAAAGGATAGGCCAATAAAACATTCTTAAGAGCTCTTCAAAGCCAACGTCCAGTAATATCTTAGGTTAAAACACATTATCTAAAGAATCCAAAAGAAGTGAACGGTTTATAGAAAGCAATGTCAAATCATCAGAAGCAATTAGAATTAACTGGGGCAGCAAGATCTCAACAGCACAAAGTGACATTTACAGGGCAGAGAGAGGTAATGCAGTATAGATGCGTATAAACAAATGCCCATCCTGTGAGCCACAAAAATCTACAAAGTCTTCTAGTCTTTCACAGAAAGGGAAAACACATCTACACAGATTCTTCCAGTCTTCCACAAGAAGGTGGAAATATTTTGAGTTGCTTCATACATGCCTCAAGGTACAACTCCCAACCCTCTTTGACATTAAAGAGAACAGTGAATGCGACTATTTCGAAGGAGGCACTCTCTTCGGGCCCATCTCCAAACAAGCATGCAGCGCAGTTAATTTACACCAGTGTAAGGGGTAAAGTTAAATGGAAATGTTAAACTGCATTCAGGTTTACCCATGCATGGGCTTATTTAGAAATCTGATAGCCTCAGTTCATGTTATTGAGACATGAAACTCAGCACTGGTGAGGCCGCACCTCGAATCCTGTGTTCAGGGTTGGGCCCCTCACTACAAGAAGGACGTTGAGGTGTTGGAGCGTGTCCAAAGAAGGGCAACGAAGCTGGTGAGAAGTCTGGAGCACAAGTTTTACAAGGAATGGCTGAGGGAACTGGGGTGGTTTAGTCTGGAGGAGGCTGAGGGGAGACCTTACCGCTCTCTACAACTACCTGAAAGGGGCTTGTGGTGAGGTGGGTGTTGGTCTCTTCTCCCAAGTAACTACTGATAGGACGAGAGGAAAAGGCCTCACATTGTGCCAGGGGAGGTTTAGACTGGGTATTAGGAAAAATGTCTTTATGGAGAGAGTGGTCAAACGTTGGAACAGGCTGCCCAGGGAGGTGGTGGAGTCACCATCACTGGAGGTGTTCAAAAAACGTGTAGATGTGGTACTTCGGGATCTGGTTTAGTGGGCTGGTGGTGTTGTGTTGATGCCTGGACTTGATGATCTTAGAGGTCTTTTCCAACCTTAACGATTCTATGATTCTATGAAGTAAACCTGTTTAGGCTACCAGCTCTAAACAGGAGTGTGCACACACTCTATGTGGTTTCCCTAATCCATTTAAATTTGTTCAGATTAACTTTCCTCAGCATCCCTCTGCAGACAGGCCCTGAAGATACAGGCTTAACCATACAACCTCATCCTTGCAAAGCTAATTAAATTCAGGAGGTAATCAGCTGCCAATATTGTCTGCAATTTCATTCCTTCTTGCCTGAAGCTCCTGAGCCGTCTTCCACAGCTCCACTACAATTGCAACTTCATCTAAACCTTGGATTTTCTCTTTTGTTATGTTGTAGTGAAGTTCTCTGCTTGTTTGTCTCCCAGAGTTAGGCAGAAATAGGACTGGTTTGGCTGCTCTCACAGCATTATGTAATCCCTTAGTCATGTTCACCAAAACTGGATGATTTTGAAGTCCCAACAATCAGTGCGGGAACTAGTACGGCAACCTGACACTTGACCGCACTATAATAATATTCCTTGACGAGCATCCTGGTTGCAGTATGTAAAGGTGCATCATCCCAGGTCCAAACTCTGCCTGTGCTGCTATCTTCACCACTGACTGCCCTACAAATACCACATGCCCAGACAAGGCCTCCCCCAGTGACACACAACACATGCTTCTCACTCCCAAGACTCACAACATCATTGAGGCACTAGATCTGATATAAAGAATTCAGGAAGAAAACATATGCAGCAAATGTGAGAGGAACGCTGGCAAAGAATAGAAAGAGAGCACAGAAACTCTCCTTCTTTGAAGTATTCTTGCTGGTTCACAGATTTAACTACTTTAAATCCACATCGCTTTGAAAGCCAAGGAAGGCATTACAAAAATACTCTGCTCTAGGACTATACACTAAATATGACCACAACACTGCTCGTGGAATTCCAGTTCATACAGGAATCCCCAAAGACCCAGAGGAAACATTTCCATGCTCTGCAGGGGGGCCTGGATTAGCCCCCCAGCTATTTGGACACTAATGTCTGTGAAAAGCATGTATGGGAAGAGCAGAAGAGGGTTAGAGTGGAGCAGGAGAACAAACCTGGAGGACACAGTAACCACCATTCTTCTTTTTGGCAAGGATTTTGAGAGCTTCTTCCTCATAGCCAGGAGCTACCACACCATCAGATACCTGCAACACACAGATTTCAGCTTCTACATGAAAAAAAAAATAAAAGAGGAGCTAATACTGAAAACTCCACCTGCCATTTCCAGAAAGGAATTGAAGGCACACCTCTTGGGGTTCGTCTGTACCACACAATACCAAAGGCACTATTACAATATTGGTTTCAGTCCTGGAAACAGCAGAGCACTACAATAAAGGAGTTAATAAAAAATATCCTGCCATCACTTTAAACAGAATGGAACTAATAACTAATATCCCCCTGCAGGGGAAAACAGCTCGTGCATGACGTCTCCACTTCTCAGCCCTATCAGTAAACGTGGCTTTAAAAAAAAAAAAAAAAAAATCCTTATTTCAAGAGTGACACTTCTGATGAGACAAAAATACTGGCAAAAGAGCTGTTAACAGCATTGAAACTGAAGTAAAAGAGTTTACATTCATCATTGTCATGAATTGATACACACCTTTCTTATCCTACAATGTGGGTGGTTCCTTTAGTGGTGGGTTTTTTTTTTTGGTGTGTTTTTTTTTTTTAAAGTAGTAATATACCAACTGTTATCCTCACAAACCAGTCAAACATGCTCTTTCATTCATTTGAGAAGAAGCCTCCAACATACAAGACAGCCCTTTGCACTGTGCCTTCTCCCTCTCAAAAAAATTGTAGGCAACATATAATGGGACGAACGTGTTTGGTAAAGCATTAACTCCTTACATACATTTAAGTCTGTATTTAAGCCAGTAACTTGTGCAACGCAGTCAGCTAACGGAGTTAACATTGAATCCAGCAAAGTTAAAAGTGCAGCCTGGAAAGTGGCTGAGCCTACACGTAACTTGTATCGGCTGGCAGGTAGCAATCTACATCCACATTCCTGCCTTGGGCAAGAGGCTGGCCATCAGCTCTCCGCTCCTCTATTGTTCAGATTACAGCCCTTCAACCAGATACTTCTGACAGGGTAATCAGGGTTCATTTCCAGAGACCTACTAGGAGGTAGAGGTTTGCAATCATCACTTGGAAAGCAGCATTTTCAAGCACTGCTATTTCACAGGCTCTCCCAACCAGCCAGGTTTTAACTAGTAGGAGGAAAAAAATGCATCAAAAGATAGGTGTAAATTCTGCGCTCCAGATACTGAATTACACAAATGGACCAATAAACAGTCTTCACTAAAATGGGTCAAATTCAAACAGAATGGCTGTTACAAACCAATGACTCCATCTAGTGCGATTCTCCTTTTTACACTCGAATGATTTGCTGCTGTTTAACTAACCTCTCTGGAAATAATCTTGGCCGTAGCCACATCACAGATATCAGACAAGGCAATGAAGTCACCAAAAGACGACATGCGATCAGCACCTGCAAAACCATATTTTTAGTAACTTATCAAACTATAGCATAATACAAAGAAAAGTCTTTGTTCCTACAATCCAGCCAACTTCCATAAGAACTAATAATTTAGTCCCACAGCAAAAAAAAAAAAAATCAGGAAATACAAGAGTAACAAGGGTGGAAAATCCTACCCCAAACACATGCACCTTTAAATATTCCCATAGTTCAGATATTCTTCCTTTTTCACTGCATTTGTCAAAGCTCTAACTCTGTAATGACTACCGCCACTACCGCAAGCAGCTCTGCCATAGCCATGGTGGCAAGAGCACAAGGAGAGGCAAGGATCATACACAGAAAGATTTTACATGGGAGATAGCTGGAAAAAGAAGAAAGCTTTTATATGTCTATGCTCCCATCTGGCTTTTCCTGCAAGAAACCAGACCCAGAAATGTAGCCAAGAGCAATTTTTAATTTATTTTTTAAATAAATATTCTCTATATTTAATGGCATAGCTAAGGTGAACAATTGATGGCACTCAACTCCTGTTACAGATGCTCTACTACTTAGCAAGGTCAATTCTTCTGTCCCTGCCATTCTAAAGGTTTATTTTTCTACCACTCATGCAATGGTCTTCTGAAGGCAACATTCAAAGGTGGTCTCCAAAGCAGTCAAAAATGAACTCAAACCAATGTCCCCCTCATCAAGTAGGTTTGCTTTGTTTTCTACAATCTGTGCAGATTTTCTAGGAATACCATGGAAAATGAGAGAATTAGCAAAATTTTTATCTTAAAATTTTTTTTTTTATCTTTAAAAATAAGCATTTACTTATTTTTAGCCTTTTTGTGAGCTCTGAAGTACTAAAGCATTAAAAAAACCCACCCACCAAATACCAGGCATAAACATTTCTACTCAAGTATTCCTGAGCACCCCATATGCAATGGAGGGCTGAGTGTACTACCAGCACAGCTATTTGTTTATCCATCCTTTAGCCAAAACCCCATAATTTGTATCTCTGTGTGTGTATATATACACATTTAAATTAAAAAATCTGTACAAGTCTTCTATATACATCAAGAAACAGAATCCAACATGTTTTTAGCTTCTTTGAAACAACATACAAGGTCTGCTCACTTGGAGAACAATTCTTGATAGGCAGTCAGTTCATTTAGTCAGTCAGACCCTTACGGAGAAAAACACTACAGAGGAGAAGTACCCTGCAAAGAGAAGAGCCTGCAAAGTGCTAAGCATGCTGCTCAGGTGCTGAGAATTAAGCTCAGCTCTTTGGGCATGCTAGTTTATTCCTGGGCTTCTCACCTCTGCTTCGTGCGTAGGCAGACGCTAAGGGTGTTAAGGTCTTGTGGAAGTCATGCACCATGCAGACTTGTGCCTCCTGTTCGCTGAGAGGTATTCCAACAGCAGCACCTAGTGGGAAATACAAGCCAGGGCACTCAAACCAGAGCCTCTTGCTGGTCCCTGCCCCTGGGACCTCCCCAGGGTAAGGGACACAAAATCGTGGCAACAAGGAGCCACCCTACCTGCAGGGCTGACATGCTTTAGGAATGCCTAGGGCCTGTTTGAGTTCCTTCACCAGCTGCCAGGCATTGAGAGCATCACACAGGTTGATGAACCCTGGAGAGCCATTCACCACTGCAAACACAGCACACAAATAGACACATTAAAGCGGGCAGACCCCTCTCCCCAGTCTGGAGAGCAAGCAGAAGAGATTTCTCCCACCAAGAACTGAAATCACTACAAATTGTTCTTGTTAAATGACCCAGGCTCCTCAGCAACTGGTTAAGTGCCCTGGAAAGCTTCAGTGACTTGTGAGAAATGCACAGGCCTGAGACATGGGAGAGGCACGCTGTCCCTGTGTGGAACAAGAGCTATCTCTTCCAGAGGGAGCCTACCAGAGCTTGATTTTGACCAAAGGTGCACAGTCAGGGTTGTCAGGGAAGAACACAAAAAACACATCCCCTGCTCTCCCTAGCAGGTATTTGTCTTCACAGATCTAGTAAATGAATTTCATATGGTGACTATGGCTCTGATTCAAAGTACTCCAGCGCTAGCCAAACTTTAAGCACATGTCGTCTCTGATGTCAACAGAGCCACTCACAGCCACAAAATTCAGGGTGAGTTAAAGTGCTTAACTTGTTCCTTTCATCAGAAATCCATATCAACACTAAAGTCTAAAAGTCTGCTCTCAAAACCTTTTGCCCTGGCCCTGCAAGAAGAATTGCTCGTACTGACATGGAAGGACTGTAAGCATTTTAGGAGACAAGAGGTAAAGATCATTTTAGCAATAGTCCATGGCCAGGACAAGTGAACACAGTGTTGTTCTGCTGCCATACTGGGAGGCAGGCTTGCAAGCAAATCAGCTTCCAGTGCAGGAACTGAAACGCTTCCCAAGAGGTCCCAGAGTTGAAATTGGGAAATGCTGCAACACAAAGCTTCATTGCCTATTGAACGGGACAATGCCTGCACACAAGGCAGAGCTTTGTGTTTCACCAACATTGAAAGCAATCTCAAGAACAAGATTAGCCAGACTTTCTTTCTCTCCAGAACAGGGACTTTCCTCACTGCAACAATGCTGTGGTGAGTGGCACACCCTGTAAAATGGCAGAGAGACACACCAGACCCATCTCAAACTCTTGCAAGTGAGACTAGTATCCCTTCCCTCTGCTACCATTAGCAGAAGTCTTGTGGGGGTCAGCAGACAAGCTTTTCTGTCTCACACAGCTCAACCTTTTCATTGCAAAGCTAGTGCCACTCAGTAATAAAGTAGTTGTTAAGGCACTGTTGGCCATCCCTTGCAGTAAGGTACAAAATGCTATTCCAGTTTTAAAGACAACCAGCAGATATGCCCAATCACCTCCTTTCCCAGCTATCCCAGAGCTCCCTTTTGGCCAGCACGGCCTAAGCCTCACCTGTCAGGGGAAGTCTGGATCTCATCGTGTAGAGCTGTGCAGGACTCTGGTGAGGATTCATGCCATACCTCAGGGGCAGCTGGGACACCCCCTTGCTGTACTCTTTCCTAAAGTAGTCAGAGATGGCTGCATCATACTGAGCAGTGTGGGTGAAAGCCTGGGGGAAGAATGGGGGAGACCTCTCAACTTAAACATCAACTTACAAAGGACCTGGTGTTTAAAGGGAATTAATGAAAGGCAAACGAGTCTGGCCTGCAAGCAAACACGACCAACCTTCAGTGCAAGGTGACGCCTGGTTTCCATGGAAGTATCTTTGTCCCTTGATGTCGCCATCTCTTTAGCTACTGCAGAGTAGTCTGCAGGGTCACACACAACTGTCACACGAGCATGGTTCTTGGCAGCTGCCCGCAGCAAGGCAACTCCTCCTGCAAAAGAAAGATGGGAGACATGAAGCACTTCCCTTCTGGACATAGCACAATCAAGAGCCACATCTGAAGCAAAGAAGGGACATACACCAATTGATCATTTGTGCCAGATGAATGTGGCCCCTCTCTCCAGCAAGAAGGGACCATAAGAACACTCTTCAAAACACACAAGGCTGGCAAGTTTTACTCAATCTACTGATGAAGGTGCACATTGATCGGCCTTTGCAGATGCAGGCAGAGCTGTGATGGCAAGGAAACAGGTCACGGGCTGCAATGAGCAACTGGGGCAAGAATGCATTCGAGCAGCACAGCCACATCCTGAAGAGGATGGTTGTCTCCACATAGTGCTTAAGCACAATCCTCGGCCACACCAGGTTGGGGAGGGATCTATACAAAGAGTCACTTCTACACTGCCAAGCAACAGAGGTTCCCAAATCTCTCTGCAAATATTAATGAATCCTGCCCAGGTCCTTGGTGTAAGATAAAATGCCACACTTCCCCTTTAAATCTGTCGCTGCATAGCTATTCTAACACTAAATCGTACGAGATACTAGGCTGTTGCAAAGGAAAAGTAGAGGCTGGCACTGCTACATGCAGAGTGAGTCTTACTCCATAAAACATTTAATAGAGAACTCTGCTGGGCATCATTTGGACTGAACTACTGCAAGAAAATTCAATCCCAATCCAACCTCATGGCACAACACTGTGCCTGTACTGTTCACAAGCTGCCAAGCAGAGATGCTGCAGTGAAGGAACGGCAAGCCTTCTGGGGTTAATAACTAGCAGGAAGATCAAAACTGCTGATGATACAGGCATCCATGTTTCCAAACTTGGGTCCTAACTACTCTCCCACATATGCAGACCAACCGCGTTCCTTGTAATGGCTTCCTGCAATGAAGTTTTCAGCAATCACCTGAGCACTTTCAGTGATTCAGCTTTTTTTCCCTCCAAAGCTCATGTTTTTTATTTTTATTACGCTGCCAGAGGCTGCAAGAGAGGTTTAATCTGCTCTCTCGGTTTCCGTAGGAAGCATGCTCCACCTGGCCTTTCCTAGCACAGCCTTCTACAGTACATCAGGCTCCTCCTTTTGGGCAGTGCATGACTTGCCCACCTACGCAGCATGGCTTGCCAGCCTGCTACAATAGCCACTTGCCATTTTAATTGTACATCTGCTTAAAAGCAATGAGGTTTACCCAGCTATGCTTTCAGTCTGCTCCTTGCAACTCCTCAGCTCTTTAGCAAACTTCCTTTGTGGGTGTGCAGGGCCACCAAACAAGAAGAGAAGAACCGAGGCCGCTTAGAGACCAGAACCATCAAGTCTGCCTGAAGAATAGATTTGCTCTTTTAACTTACCAATATCAATTTTTTCCACTGCCTCTTGTACAGTTACATCCGGAGAAGATACAGTCTTCACAAAGGGGTAGAGGTTACACACTACAACTCTGAAAATTGAGGGGAAAAGCAGGGTTAATCCATAAGAAATAAAACGCCAAACTGGGCTTGGCAAGCACAAGATACCACCAGTATTTTTATGGTCTTGTCTGTCATATCAGGGACCAACATAAAAACCTGTAAGCAATGTTTCTTTCTCCAAAAGACTTAAGAGACACTGGTGCTCAGGAAAAGGCCAAGTGATGGTACAACGCATTACAAAATTTAACTGAACTCTGAACATTAAACAATGTCACAGCAGATAGAACTACAATTTACAGTAGTTTAAAGGAAGAGTTTCTTTAAACATGTGGGCCTGTATGTAAATGTTTAGTGGTTTTGGTGCACAGCTTGAGCCATTTCAAAGGACTTGACTTGACACCAAGTTGGGTGGGAGTGTTGATC